TCCCCCCCCCCCCCCCCCCCGACGCCTGCGGGCTGTAAAATAAAATAAACCCGTCGACTAATTAAACGGTCAACGACTCCTCGCGTCGCGTAAATAAAACGCGGGGATTTAAAAAGATCGTTCGATCCGGAACGCGGCGGGGAAACATTTTGAATTCTATGCGTTTACGGATACGATACACATTTTTTCCCTAATCCGCGCTCGGATTTCGCAGAAAAATGGAGAATTTGGGGAGAGGAGATATGCGATTGTTCGAGCAATTGGACCTTGTTTTTACAGTCGTTGACAACCGGTGACTATAAAAACGAGCCGAATAATCGTATCTCCTTCTACGAAATCGTCGATTCTCGTGCGCGAATCCGAGCGCGAATTAGGGAGACATTACTGTATCTCGCTGTGACTCGGCTCGCCCGAATCGCCGCCATTTTGTTCGAGAAAACGCATCGATCCTTGGAAGGGCCGCAAGGCGGTTGAAACCACCGGGACACGAGCGGGATTGCGGGACGGAATTTTTTCCGCGATATCTCTCGAAGAGTACGTACACCGCAGAATTATTTCACGGGGCGCACGTCCACGCCGCGGATTCACGATCCACTGGAAATAGATGAAAAACACCCGCCGTATCCTGGCGTATCGTTCGCGCTCGCCTCGTGGCCCGCCCCCTCTGTCTCATGATGATTTACTCTCGGAGAAAATATTTCATTCGAAACCGATCGATTTTTACGTAAAATTCAACAACGCCGTTACGGATTTCAACAATTCCGATAAATATTTTCGTAGCTACAAATCCCGAGGCCGTTGTATAATCTCGTTTTTAACTCGTTGTGCTCGCGCAATTGCGAAGAGTTCGCCTCTTGTTGATTTACTCGCGGAGAAAATATTTCATTCCGGATACATAGATCGATTTCACGTGAAATTCAACGACGGGCGCGGATATCAACGATTTCGATGAACACTTTTGTCGCGTGCAAAATCCCGAGGCTGTTGCACCAGCATAATCCTCTGTTATCTCGTTTTCGAACTCAATACTACTCGCGATTGTAAGTTTTCCTTTCGTCGATTTATCCGCTGAAAATATCTCGTTGCGAATGAATCGACGTTCCGTGAAAATCGACGTCGGTGCGGTTTCTAACAATTTTATTTTCAAGATCGCGAACTCCGTGGCTGTTATCGTTTTCTAAGATCTCTTATTTCAAGCGAAACTCGCGATTGCGACCGTTCGAGGATCGTACAAATTTTCATTCATTTATTAACGTTGTTTCGATCCACCTGCGCGAGTAATCATCTGTAATAGGATTATATATAGCCCTTTTTCATTTGAAAATTGATCTTGATCAGGACCTATCGAGCGAATCGTTTGCACGGATTGCAAAGAACGGAAGCCAATTATAGTTATAGTAAATTATAATAAATTATTATAAATATATTAAATTATAATAATAATTATAATAAAATATTTAACCCTTCTACATTTGAAAATTGATCTTGATCAGGACCTATCGAGCGAATCGTTTGCACGGATTGCAAAGAACGGAAGCCAATTATAGTTATAGTAAATTATAATAAATTATTATAAATATATTAAATTATAATAATAATTATAATAAAATATTTAACCCTTCTACATTTGAAAATTGATCTTGATCAGGACCTATCGAGCGAATCGTTTGCACGGATTGCAAGGAACGGAAGCCAATCGAATAAAAAAGCCTAAATAGATTCGATAAATCGTCCCGAAACGCTTTCGATCTCTCCGCTAATTTTTGTTTGTTAAACGCGACCCCTTCTTTTCCATCGGAAACGCGCAAAATCTATTCGAACGAAACGGAAACAATTTAAAATCGAAATCGTGTTCCGTAATCGGGACACGGTGTTTGAGAATGTCGAACGTAAAACCAGAGGCACGTTAGCGTACGCTATTAAAAGCCGGCGTACTAAATTTTTTGACACATTTAAGTATCCGGCAGCCAGGTGTCGTCGTTCTGTGCCTCTGGTACAGGTACCTCGGCGCCATAAAATGATAGCACCAGTACTTTGCGCTCGTGATCCTTGAATGGCCCGGATTTAAAGCATCCGCGTACATCCCCCCTGTAGCAGCACTCGAAACGTCAAAATAAAAAGGCGCGAATCTATCGGGATGATTTATTATGTTTTTTGTAGCGTGCTCTAAAAACCATATTTCACACTGATGCATGCAAACGCGGCAGCCGCGCAAGGATTCGATCGTCGACGTCAGCTTTGCGCGGCGCTGCGCGTCGCGACGCGAGTTTTGTTGAAAAAAACCATACAGCAACATACGTCTGGATAAAAGTAGACATTACGCTTAAAAGCGCAATGGCCGAAAGACTGCGGACGTGCTCGCGTAAATTCGCACGTAATTCGCGGTTCGATTGTCGTTCGGTGGGTCTGGGAAAACTCTTAAATCGTTCGAAAGGAGACAAAAATTTCAATAATTCGATCTTGCTCGATAAAAATTACAGCTGAGGCTGCTTTATATTGACGCTCGTTTTTACTATATTCTGTTGATTCGGATCGCAGCTTCGCAAAGGAGATCGTTGTTTGCACAGTTTTCGAAAAAAATACAGTCACGATGTATATGTGTGTATGCGTTCCCTTCGTTCTTCAGGCTACGAGACGACAAGAAGATCACCCTAACCGAGGATCATTATGAAGGTGGTATCACGGAGCAAACAGCGCTTACCGTGAAAAATGCGACAGCCAGTGATATGGGGACCTACAAGTGCATTTTAGACAATAAAGTGGGCACATCGGTCTCGGACGACGTCGTCGAAGTCAACGTCTTATGTGAGTACGAAAATCTGCCCTATATCCCAGAAATTGTCTATGATCCTTTAAACCGCGTTTTCATCGTTTACCTTCGGTATTTTTTGTTGTATGAAGAAACCGTGCAGCTTCTTGCATCGGCGTTTTTCGTATGTACTTGTTATTCTATGAAATTAAAAAGTATAGAATTTTATTTGGTTGTATATACATATATAGTTATGAATAAGGATAATTTAGGAAATAATATAAAATTAATAATAATAGATATAATATATAAATTATTAATCATTAATATTACAATAATTATATATATTATTAATTATAATATATATTCTATTCTACTATATTCTATTATATTCTATTATATTCTCTATTATATATTCTATTCTATTCTATTATATTCTATTATATATTCTATTATATATTCTATTATATATATTCTATTATACTCTATATATTATATTCTATAATATATACAATATAATAATAATAATAGAAAAAGAATTTATACGAGTTTATTTACTTTAGCGTTATAGATATATAGTTATACTCGTGATTATAATGAAAAATTTATATCAACAGGAATAACCGTGACTGAGAACCATAACGAGTCGCGTATAGAAATCGCGGATCGAAAGAAGGCAAGGACCGAAAAGAACTGCTATTAGAATACGCAGTAATGCAATAATGCGTAATCGGTTAAACAGAGAAATTCCAAAAGCCCGTGGCGGGAGTATTGGCACGCACATTAATAAGTAAAATACACAGGCACGGCATAGTCGTAATTAACTCTGTACTCGTTCAATATTAATGCAAGGCTTAATTAAAACCGGTATCAGCTCTACATGGTAAAGCTATATATTTGTTCAATTAGCTTTGTATGGGGAACCGTTTGATCTTATTTTAATCGGCCTGTAGAATCACGTGCCCGATACGCGCAAGTGTTAATTAGCAATAATTCCGACTAAGTCGATGAACCCGGGGCCGACAATGGTCGGACGAATACCCCTCCGTAAACGGTCCGGCGGTTCGCGATCGACAGGTCGGCTCGCGAACAGCTTGCAAAAAGGGCACTCGATGGATTATGTTTGTTAATGAAAAAGGCAAACGGGGCGCGCACACGCTAACGGGATCGGCTCTCTAAAGCGGCGCCCGGCGACGATTTATGGACACATAAATATCGTTTACCAGACCAAAACGCGACAAATTGCTGTAATGCGAAACGGAACGGGACTATTTTTCCCCGCCGGCTGTTTCCCCCTGCGCTCTCGCGAACGTCGATCATCGCCGGTCGTGAAAAAACATTTTTGCATGCGACAGACACCCCGGTCGGTTTCGTCGCCTCTGCCCAAGGTGGAAAACGAATCGTTTAGAAACAATGGAGCCGGAAACAACGAGACGACGTCGCCGCTGATTTTCGATCCAACTTTGCTCGCGGACATTTTCAACCCCTTGCCCTACAACCACGTCCGGGACACGTGGCAAAGAAAATCGGGCCAAAAACGATCGTCGCGTCCGAGAGACGTGGTCAAAGAATCGACGAAGCTTCGGTTTTTCAAAAATAATTGGCGACGGACGAGGAGAAATGATTTTCACCAGCACGCATCGAACGTTGTCTTCTTCGCTCCGTTATTATCGAGTACCGGATCGTTAAGAAAGAAGGGGATCCTTTGTATAATTGGTTCGCTCGCGGAACACCTTATTTATTTGTTTGCAGGCGAGACGCGGAGGAAAGAGAAGCTCTTTGAGAAAATTGTGCCCGAAGAAACGTTCGATGCAAATGCATCCCCTGTACATTGAATCGTAATGTCGCCTGGGAAGGAAGCGATCGTTATAATAAAAACGGAAGGTCAAACTTGAAATTTCAAAGGGCCTTTGTCCAATGACGCGCGGAATGCCCGAGCCGGAGAATAAACATTGGATAACGGTCGCGGAGAGGAGCAGTTAAAATAATTCAGCATATCTAAACTGTCGGGGGGCCGGAGCCGCGTCTGACGCTTATTGCTCCACATTTCGGTCAAGCACGAACAAGATAGGAAACTTGTTGGAGAAAGCGCCGACCATAAATCTAAACACGGAGGCAACAGAAATATTGGGAAAGTTAATGTCGTCTGAGATATCTTAAGCCCCGCCGGCATTTCCTCTTGTCGTTCGCGGAAACGATTCGCGCGGAAAAGGATCGACCGTTTTTTTGTTTTTTTTTTAATGGATCGTTTAGACAATTCTATTCGAGCTTTTGCACACCGGCGTTTAGATTTTCCGGATTAGTTCGCCGGAAATTGACGTTTACGAATTTAGATTCGAAGCGCGATCGATTTTCACCGGAGTTAACCGCGATATCGGAGAGGCGCGGTGTAGCGCATTTCGACGGAAGCGATGCGAACAAAAGAAACGACCGCGGGCTTCGCGGACTTCGTTCCGCGAGTCGCGCGGAAACGGAGGAATTTTATCGAGAGAAGCGAGTACAAATGTTTGTCGGACCGGAGAGCACGGTCGAACAACAACACTCGATTAAATACAGGCGACACGATCGATCGAGAAGTGTGCTACGAGAATAATTCATTTTTGGAGAAATCGCGCGCGGATATGGGATGCGGCCAAATGCAGTGCTCGACGGCCGTTCAAATTGAATCTCCTCGATAACGAGACTTCAAACGAAAAAAATTTTATGCTCTCGTGCGGCATACTTCGGATATTCCGTGAAAAAAAGAATGAAACGCGCGTTGCGAACTCGACGAATGAACGAATAATTTATACGCGAAACAAACGACGATCTCTCGACGATGACAAAAAAAAACGAGGCACGCGAATAATTTCTCGTCTTTGTGGGAGATGCGAACGGTGTAACTTGTTTTTTTTATTATTTTGCAACCGCGGCCTTAACCCTTTGCGCTCTGAGACACCGCTGAAATTGTTGTACCGCGTTCCAAGATCATTTTTATACGAAGAAAGTTCAGATTGAAAAAATTGTCGAAAGCGCAACTGCTGCANTTCTCGTCGCTCGGTACACCGCGGAAATGTGAGTGGCATAAGTCATCGAACGGCCGCGTAATCGTTGGACCGCGGATCCTCGTGTAAATTGAAATTTTCTGAGAATGCGTGTCATTTTGTGCTTGAAATTCTTGCTAGTTTATCGGTACCTGTTCCAGGCAGTATCGTTTGATCTTGCGAGTTGTCAAGAGAGGTAAAATTCCGATTGGTAATCGTAGTTAGCTTCGGACGGATTGGAAACGGATTTTTTATTAACCCTTTGCGCGTTCCAAGATCATTTTTATACGAAGAAAGTTCAGATTGAAAAAATTGTCGAAAGCGCAACTGCTGCACGAGTCACCGGAGGACACAATTTCGCATGCATAAAATGCACTTTGTCACGCAAAACGGAAATACTGCGAGTCCGAAAAATTATTTTAGATTTGCTTAATTAGTTAATTTTGTATCGTCACGAATCGAGTTCGGTTTCCACGGTTCGTTGTGTCGCATAAATAATTTCCGCGAGGGTGAACCACCCCCCCCCCCCCCGCCGTTCCGACGGGATAAACAGGATCACGGCACAATGAAATTCTAATTGCAGTCTTAATAACGCTCGGGAGTGTTGTATTTTGCGGAAACAATCCACGGAGAGGGGCGAGCCGAGAATTTCGAACGCGGAAAATTAGTTCGCCGGCCGTCCACTCTTCCTCTTCCGTGGTTGTTTTTCCGTCTTCTAGTTCCCCGGGTAAACTCCGCGGACGGTCTTCGGATTCTTTTGTTTTGAACTTGCTGAAATCTTGATTACCTTGCGGATAAAAAATGTTCCAGCCAATCTGCTGATTGGATTCTCCGCGGGAGTTTTCTTTCAGGTGCTTCGGAGGCTGGTCCCTAACTCACTCTCTCTCTCTTTCCTCTCTCTCTCTTTCTCCTCTCTCTCTCACTCATGTCTCTCCGTCTCTCCCCGCTCCCCCCTTTTTCCCAAGTATGTTGTCCCAGCGTTTATCCGAGCTTCGATGTAGCATAAACGAGACTGTTACTTCACACATCCGGCAACCGGCCGCGTATGGTTTGCTTCGAATAGCTTCACCGCGAACATAAATCTTTATGGTTCGCGCGGTCTCGTAAAAAATGCATGAGCCATGAGACTTTTAAAGCAGTCCGCCGGCCGGCATTCAGCCGGGGAAACATAAAGAACCGGGATATATTCGTTCTCTTAAATTGATTAGATCCATTTTAATGAGACGGCTCTCCGCCGTGGACGGCTCGGGAGAAGGAGAGGCCGATTACGTGGTCGCCAGGATAATTGATTATCCGAGGGTTATAGGTTGCGATCACTGCCCCGGCAACCCTGTATACACTCGTGACACCGTAAGCTTCGTAAAATGCAAATAAACGTTTTACATTTACAAACGAGAACTATCGTTTCTACTTCGTTGCTGTCGTAATACATTTTTAATTAATAACGGTGACTGGATAAAATGAATACCAAAGTGTATTAATAATAATAACTTCATCATTAATAAGTGTAATAATTAATACAGAAGATTAGAGAAATTTCTGAATGTCGTCTCCTCGCATTAGTAAGATGATTGGAAGAGGATACAAACGTCGGTGAAACAGAGCTTTACGAAAGAACGAACTTAGAAAGTGGAGCACGGTTGAACGAGCCTGTCTCATTCGGAAAACAGAGCCAGTTATTTATAATAGAGAGATTAAACTACCGATGGTTGATAGTCCGAGTTAAAATGATCGAAAGTTAGGGTCGAGCGGGACCGCGACCCTGTGTGGAACGACCCGAATAACGTGCAGCTCGTCGTCGCGTAACAGTATCTTGCCAGGGTTTGTCGGAAACTCATCAAGTACAAGTTATTTTATGGTGTGCTTGTCCATCTGATTGCAGATAAACCAGTGGTCGAAGTGATAATGGACCCAGATACCCCGGTGAACGAGGCGGACCGTTTGAACGTCTCTTTGACCTGCGAAGTTGTTTCTGGGAATCCGGCAAGTCTGACGGCCGTCCGTTGGTACTTGAACGGGGACCTGCTGAAAGAACTTCCGGATTGCACGAGGAATAGCACCGCGACCACCACGAGCACCGAGGATCTCTGCGATATTGATCCGAGCAAGCTGCTGCTGCAAGCAGTAGATCGCGAGTTTCACGGGAACTGCTCTTGCGAAGGCAGAAACGATGCTGGCTGGGGACCACTTTCACCGAGTGCGCCTGTCATAGTCTATTGTAAGCTCTTTTAATTTTTGATCCTTTGATCCAATCTCTCTCTCTCTCTCTCTCTCTCTCGTTCTCTCTCGCTTTTTTCTTTTTTTTTGTTCTTTGCCTCGACGGTTCGGGGACTTCGCAGTCCGTTGGTCTAAATTATTTTGTCCTCGCTAAGATTCGACCATCGAAAGTCTCTCTCTCTCTCTCTCTCTCTCTCTCTCTTTCGCGTGTCCTAGTTGCGATCTTGCGAACTGTTGCAACCGAAAATTACGGTAAAACGTCTTACTGATCGACAGCGACACTTTTCGCATAACATATTGCCTGAGATGGGTGATTTTTACAGTAATGTCTCCCTTACCGACGCTCAGATTGTCCACTAAAATGGATAAATTGGGAAGAGGAGATACGATTATTCGAGCCTTGCGGCTCGTTTTTTATAATTGTGGACAATTTATAACTATAACAATAAACCGCAAGGCTCGAATAATCGTATCTCCTCTTCCCAAATTGTCCATTTTTGTGCGCGATCCGGGCGTCAATTAGAGAGACATTACTGTATACAGTAAGTATTTGAAATGTGCTGTATCGAATAATCGCAGTTCAAATGAAACAGCATTTCGAATAGGGGACATCGAATTACGGTGAATAAAACATTTCGTTTTGATAATCTACAGCTAAAGCGCGAGATAAATATTATATTTCGATTCATTCATTATTTTTAACTTAAATAGCATAAAGCATAAAATAAAATTACTTCTCTATGATTTGATAAAATAAAAGAATTTTATTTCGTGATAATGAATTGAATAAATGAAATATTCCGAACCATGGCACAATATTTTCACTATTTCCTTTTTTCTTTTTCAAATGAAGCATCGTTTGAAATATTATTCGAAAAAGCTCTTTACCACGACACAAATGTTTTATCCTAAAAAGTACATTTGCCAACGAGAAATTCTGAGAGTCTACGTAGTTATTTGCATAATCGCAGAGAGGATCATTCGATACAGAGACACCCTATATATATATACATATATAGAGAGAGAGATCGTCAATCCGGTATTAAATTTTCATGTTTCCTGCAACGATGCTTATTCAATTATCTGCAATACCATTCGTAAATGTTTTATGCATGAAACAATCAGCTTGTTATCCTACTTTAGAGGATACGTACGCGAATGTGTGGGAAGGAAGATGTGTCACGAACACGTACGATGATACCGAAGAGGCAAGAAAGATCTAATAAGCGATCTTCGTTCTCGTACGATCGTTTCGATAATGGAATACGTGAAACGTTCAACGAAATATTTGTTAGCAGGTTCACAGTCCCGCGAGGATTAAAGGGGACGATATTTAGCTGCATGAGCCAGCATGTCCAAATTTCTCGTACATTTGTTTATTTATTTTTCTATACGAAAGAACAATTTCCCGTATATTTTCCTAGATGAATGAACAAATTGTTGCTCTGCGAGTTTAATCCTTCTGCGCACAAACCAAGTAAATTCTTCTTATCTTTTGCGAAACGTGTTCGATAGTATGAACGAATTCTTTGATATTTACGAAACAGCTGTTCAAAGAATTAAACAATTCTCTTTAAAATTACAGGTATCTGAATAATACCTGAATAATATCTGAGAATAATTTTAGAGAGAAGAAATAGTAAAAGAGTCAAAGAGCATCGACACGTTGCTCTCCAACCTACTGCAATTATTAAAAAAAAAAGAAGAGAGGAGCTTTTTAAATGGCTCCCAGTTCGTGCAACAAACGCGGACAATTTCCGTTTCGCATAAAGATCCGCTGAATAATACCTGAATAATATCTGAGAATAATTTTAGAGAGAAGAAATAGTAAAAGAGTCAAAGAGCATCGACACGTTGCTCTCCAACCTACTGCAATTATTAAAAAAAAAAGAAGAGAGGAGCTTTTTAAATGGCTCCCAGTTCGTGCAACAAACGCGGACAATTTCCGTTTCGCATAAAGATCCGCTGAATAATACCTGAATAATATCTGAGAATAATTTTAGAGAGAAGAAATAGTAAAAGAGTCAAAGAGCATCGACACGTTGCTCTTCAACCTACTACAATTATTTAAAAAAAAAAAGAAGAGAGGAGCTTTTTAAATGGCTCCCAGTTCGTGCAACAAACGCGGACAATTTCCGTTTCGCATAAAGATCCGCGGTATAATACCTGAATAATATCTGAGAATAATTTTAGAGAGAAGAAATAGTAAAAGAGTCAAAGAGCATCGACACGTTGCTCTTCAACCTACTACAATTATTTAAAAAAAAAAAGAAGAGAGGAGCTTTTTAAATGGCTCCCAGTTCGTGCAACAAACGCGGACAATTTCCGTTTCGCATAAAGATCCGCGGTCTATCGATAACAAATAGGAACGAGAGAACCGTCGACGTGTCTACGTACGGAGTTTCCTTGATTTGTGCACCGTAGGAGGATTAAGCTCGGACACCGGGACGGTGAGCGCCGCTAAAACGAGTTTGAAATGCCCGAAGCTCCTCCGGGCGTATATCGTAACAGACGTGCGATGACTTTGGTATGATTGCAAACGACAGACAAACCAGGGCCGGCCTCGATCTCGTACGAACCTCAGCGGGTAATAAAGAAGGAGTCGTTGAACATCACCTGCTCCGTCCAGGACCCGGGACTACCAAAGGTAGTTGGCTTTAAATGGTTTCGAGGCCTTCACAGACTTCCGGATGCAAATAATGCTACCCTTACCATCGGCTCGGTTAATTTGGAAACTGAAGCGAACTTTACTTGTCTCGCTTACAATGAAGCCGGCGACGGGGACCCGGCCACCACGTTTATCGACGTGTCTGGTGAGTTGTAAAGTTAGTTGTTAAACTTTCTAATTCCCGTTCCGAATAAATCTGTCGTACGTCTTGCGCGCGACAGCCGGTCGTATGGTGGTCGGAAAATGGCATTGTAATAACCGCGTAAAACTGAAGCTCGTTTTCTACCGTGTTATTCTCTCTCTCCCTCTCTCTCTCTCGCTCTCTCTCCCCGTGATTTATTCGAATCGAAATGGAATATTTTTGTGGGAAACGCCGGGCTCTAAGGTGCACGCAGCTGTGGATATATTCACCCAGTTGTTTGATTAGATGCTATTCTTTTACACCCTAATTGATGGTCAGATTGTGTAGAAAAGTAGAGATACGATTATTCGAGCCACCGCGGCTCAGTTTTTATGGTTTGCCGATTGTCAGCAATTATAAAACCGAGACACGAGGCTCGAACAATCGTGTCTCTCCTCTTCCCGAATTCACCATTTCTGTGTAAAATCTGAGCGTCAATTTTCCGACCGAAATTGCTTTTAATTCGTAGCATCGAGAACATTGATAAGCCGAATAATTTGCAACTGTATTCGATCAAGATATTTAGGGTGACGTAGAGAATATTTATCGCGGAACGCATCGTTAACAACGATGCGATGCCAATTGAAGTTTCACGTTGATATTACAATTGTATAATAAATGATTGCGGAGAGACGCATCGAAACGTAAATAAATACGAGCTGCTGTTTATTATACTAACCGTACTAAATACAATTGCAGCACACGGTACCATAAAATTTTAACGAAATCCGTAATTGCTTTCGTGCTGTATCCGAATCAACGATTCGCATCTTCTGCAAAGCTGAAACGTGTACCCTCGGCACCGTTGCTTGTTGTATTTTCCCCCACGTAACAATGTTTCTGTAACGTTTGCTGTAATCCTGTTTTAACAATAACACGGCGATCCCGTCGATTAAATAATAAGAGCCGCATCGATTCGAATAATTAAAATCGCAATTAATCTCGTCGAGATACATGTTTATTAAAGTGAAACGAAATGCAACACGTTTCCAGATGCGCGATGACATTTAAAAATATCATAATTTCATAAATGCTTAACACTCGATCTGGTCGAGGCAACGACCGCGTCGCGATAATGCTGTGCGAAACAATTAAGCGACTGCCTAACGTACGATAGCCTAAACATTTGTTTAATTTCCGAGAAGCTCTGCGATTAACGGCTTCTTCTCTTCTCGGCTATAAACAGGTTCTTAAAAATGTTGTGTAAATTGCTTTATCGTTCCCGATAAAAGAAACAGAAAAGAATTAGGCGAAAAGTGTTCGAACACTTTCGCAAATGCTGTTAAACAGACTAAAATCTTTCGCTAAAAAACAATTCTCTCTGTCCTGGTTAACGTACGATATGCGTTCAAGAGATGCAACTCTGAAAAAAACGTTATCGATCCTATCTCGCACAAATGTAGTTTCTATCGCGCTGATTACGTCACAATTTTGCTCAGAAATAGTCCTGGTAGAGGTAAAAAAGCACCCTCCAAAAATACAATAGCTAATTCATTTTACAATTGTCGAATAAAGCTTGTTAGATTTTTCGATTCTTTTACTTCGTTTATTTTCAAATAGATAAAAGATACGTCTTATTCGATTATTATTGCCAATTATTATCAATACATAATACATTAATTATGAATATTATTTACATAATTAATTCTGCCCGGAAACGAACGAAAGGCACAGCGATCGGTCCCCTCGCCGCGGTAACCGGCCCCACTACAGTAATGTCTCCCTAATTGACGCTCAAATTGTGCACAAAAATGAACAATTTAAGAAGAGGAGATACGATTATTCGATTATTCTTGCAGCTCGTTTTCATAATCGTTGACAATTGGAAACAATAAAAACGAGTGGCAAGGCTCGAACAATCGTATCTCCTTCTCCCCAAATTGTCTATTTTTGTGGACGACCTGAGCGTCAATTAGGGAGACATCACTGTACCCTGCCGTTTCCTTTCGGCGCCGCTCGGAACGGTGTTTTCTGCCGCGGTATAATTTGTCACGAAGAAAATAGAATGTTATTACGCTATTCTCCGCGAAGGGGAACTAAATTCGCGCAAACTTTCGGAGTCCCCTCGAATCTTTCCGGCCCGCGGACCCGTCGCGAAAACAAGCAATACGTATCATCCGCCGGCTCTTTTTATCTCGTCCCGCCCACTGAAAAGGCGCCGCGGAAGATGCACCGAACGTCACCGACAGGGTAGTAGTTCCCGAGGGTGGTTCCCGAGAACTAACAGGGGGCCGCGATAGCGTGTTCCGGGTCAGAAAATCGCGCGTATTTCACATCGATGGGTGCGCGATCGCGTCACCCTTATCTCCGTGCCGGCCGTGACAATGTCTCTCCGCTGGAACCGCTCCGGGAAACCACGGCTGCTGAACTTGTTCTTTGATTGTCAATAGCGGCGCCTGCGTTTATCAACAAGCTGCCCTCTTATCGCGGCTTCGTGTACAATGCGTCGAACGTTAACATCACGTGCTGGGTCGAGTGCGCGCCGATCTGCAACATTTCATGGCTGAAGACGAACACGCGCATAGACTTCACGAAAACGAACCGGTACTACGTGTTGAACGTCTACTACCCGCCCGATCCGCGAAAGAACGACTTCGAGAGCATCCAGTCGACCCTGGTGTGGAACCTGACCGCCTGGCCCGGCGGCCAGCTGGACAGGGCCGAGGACAACGTGGAGTTCACCTGTCGGAGCAGCGACAACGGCATCGGCGAAGCGATCAACAGCAGCACGCATGTTCACGTCGAATGTACGTCGCCTCGCCATTTTTTTTCTTCTTTCACGGACACAGGCTCCGAGCTAATTTCTCGCTAATCGCGCGCGAAACATCGACAATTTCGGAAGGAGGAGGCGCGCTCGTTCGAGCCTCGCGGATTCGTTTTTGTAGTCGTCGACGATCGGCGAAGAGAATAGCCGCGAGACTCGGACCATCGTGTCTCTTCTTCCGAAACCGTTTTCTTCGCGAGCCGAGGGACAATTGGAGAGAATTTATTCTCCGTATCGCGAGCTTTTAGAATCGTAATTTCGCGGGACATGTTGAACGCGAGACCAGCCGGAACGAAGCCGAATCGAGCAAGTCGATAGAATCGCGGACTCGCCGTTTAGCGAGTCTACTCGCAGAATTTTTATTATTCGCGGGAGAATCGCTGGCTGGATCTAGCTCGATTCGGTTCGATCTGCCGTCGCGCGAAACGCGCTGTCTAATTACGTTTGATCGAGTCCGAGTCGCCGCGCCTCTGTCGCGAAACGCGACGCTTTAATTCCTCTTTCAATGTCCCTTAACCGGCTCGTGAATCACTACGCGCGAGTGTGTCGCGGCGATGAAATACAGCCGGTTTATAGATGGTCATTTTTTTGTCTCTCTTTCTCTCCCTCTCGGCAGTTCCGCCGGAAAATGTGACGATCTCGAAGAAAATCGTAAACGTCACGGTCGACACGATACCGGAAACCGTGACCTGTAACGCGAACTCGCACCCGAAGCCTGCGTACCGCTGGTTGCGCGAGGGTTCCAACGACACCATCATGGAGGGTCGATTCCTCGATTTAAAGGTGCCGGCGCCGAGGCGCAGCAACGGCACTTACTATTGCGAAGTGCGGAACCGGCACGGAAGCCGTACCATCGCCGTGGTCTTGAACGTTCAGTGTAAGTCTGTATTAATAATTGCCGTTTATCAGCTCGGCCGACACTTCCTTAAAATGCGCCCGATCTTTGTCGAGAGTCTGTCAAAAAAAGATAGTTTGTCAAAAGAGATTCGCTTGCTTAAACTTGAATTCCCGGAGCACGAAGCAAAGATGAATAATTGTGTTATCGCTCGGTACGAGGTAATTCCCGAGCTCATTCGAAGTAACTTTTTCCTTTGCGAAAATGAAATCCGCGGCTTCGTTTACGAGTTATTGTCGAAAGAACGGTGACCAATGAGAGGCGAGCACTGCTGGCGCAACGCGGCCGAGCCGACGAGCAGTCGACGCCCAGTTCCGCCGATTGGCTCGGCCGGCCAGCGCTAGGCGAGCTCGCCTCTCATTGGCCAGTGTTTTTCGTTAATAATTCGTAAACGAAGCCGCGGATCGCATTTTCGCGAAGGAAAAAGTTGCTTCGAACGATCTCGGGAACATAATTAGCCTGTATACATAATTTATTTATTCAGGTTTTGCTGAAACACGTAGAAAAAGACATTGCAATTACGCTACGTATTATACTATTTTGTAATATCGTGCAGGATCGAAACACTATTTCCTTTGAAATTCGAAGCGAGCGGCGCAAAATGACGGGAAATCTCGTCTAATTTCGCTACGCTCTCTCTCTCTCCCTCTCTCTCTCTCTCTCACTCTACGACATCTCCCAGGTGTCCGGCAGTAGTTAAATGATCATAAAATGTTGCCCGATAATTATGGAACGCGTGTTTCGAACGTAATTTCGTAGTTTCTTTTATCACCGTGAACGCTGCTCGGGCGTGTCAAATTTGATTCGAACGGGCATCGTAGCTGTGTATTCGTATAAAAGCAATCAAACTCGTGCATTTTCCTCTTCACAGTTAAGCCGGAATGTCACGTGGAAAAGGAACAAATAGACGGCAAGGATTACGTAGTGTGCTCTGCGATTGCTAATCCGAGAGAGACCGATTTCGTTTGGTCTTTGAAGAACGACAACGACACGTTGGAACAGGTCGCCGAGATACGAAATGGGAAGAGCTATATGCGACTGGATACTTCGGTAACCAATTTCCGGACATACATATGTGTCGTAAACAACACCATCGGCTATTCGAATCCCTGTGAACGCGACGTACCAGGTAAGTCGAAAAATCATTACCACGTCGTTCCGCGGTGAGCATCGGGACCGATTATCGATCGTTATCCGACGTATTCGATCATGAATGTTTCAATGTTTACCGACTGTTCGATTGTTTTGCAGAGCAAGACCAAAATGAGTAACTCCGTCGAGAACTGTGTTTAATTCTAGGGGTTTATATAGATCGCTATCGATCCACGGAGAATGAGAGAAATTCATTGTCACACCGAAAGCAACATTTAATTACGAGCTTAAACATGATTAAATCGTTCTACGATGAAACGTATAAATCAAGGAATTTTGATTAATTTTAAAGATTGAAAACCACGTTTGATTAGACGTTAAAAAACAAATCATATAAAACTACATCGTTATATTGTCGTGCGCGGAGAGATGTCTTTGGCGATTCCGTTTAAAATTGCATCTAATTATTATTAAATTATTGCACAGAGAAAGAGCAAAAACCAGCGACACCGTTGTAAATAATAAGAACAAATTGCGACAGTCCAAGCACTTAACAATGGCATTATCCTCGCTGCTTTGTCATGTGATACTGTGCGTCACATCGCCAATGCTTTCTTTCCGATTTTAATAAATAATCCAATAATAACAATAATAACAATAATAATAATAATAATAATCCAAACTGTGCCGCATTTATTTTCCACGACGGCGAGAAATTAGCGAAACCGAAACGAGATCGTTCGACCAGGAACGAAATCATTTGACAGCGGCGTTAATGAACTATTATGCCGAGAAAGGAGCAGCCTCTGAAAGTTACGGTTTAATTATGAAGGAGATTCCACCGCAGCCTGATGCGAGCTTTTACAGAAAACGCATTCCTCCGTCGTGGTCATTTTTTCAGCCCCCCCGCTTGATATTACATTCCCGTCGTAATTCTCGTATTATATTGTGCAGCTATAATTCCCGTGCACGCGCGCGGGCCCAGGCCCGGGAATCTATAGCCGCGAGAGATTAAAGGGAGCCGAAAATGCTCAAAAAGCGACTCCCGGAACTTTTGCGAAAACACGGTCGCGAAAGTTTCCCCCTGTACATCGTCCCGCTTCTACGAGACACTTCCGGAAACGTAGACTCCCGGCTTCGGTGTTTTATCGAAGTTTACGAAACAGCTTTTCCAGATATCGCGGAACGGTTTTTGTTTTTCCCCGCATTTGTTTACCCGCCTCGTCCGCGGGACAGAAATATTTTAGCGCGGAAATCGCCTGAGCGTGTCCGCGCGAACGAAAATTCGAGGAACAACGGCGGGAACGCGCGACACGTTCGTTTCGTTTCTCGAGAATCGCGCTTCGAAAGGCGAACCACGTCCTTTCAATCGCGAGCGTTTCAATTACGACCGCGTCGGTAATCGCGTCTGTTTCAATTACATTCGGTAATTATAATTGTTTGTTTATTATTTATCGCCGCGTTTGCTCTCGCGATTATTCGCCCGTTCTCTTGAAAAGCGAAAATTCATGCAATGCGCGACATGGAAAAGCATCTTTACCGTGCCAAACATCATGGAATAACAATTCTGCAGTGTTAGGTCGCCGTGTATAAGACGCATACTTTATAATTTAACCGTGAAAATCGATGCATTTCCTACGCAGCACCCAAAGCCGACTAATTTACAGCGTTTCGTAATAACGACAAGATTCGATTTATTTGAACTTCCCACGATTTTTATAGAATATAGAGAAGCTCGCGTAACAAATTCTGACGTCGATATTTTTATAGTATCGGTGTTTGTAAAAAAGAAAAATCAAGAACCTGTCCGTTCGACTGGTAATTCCGGTTCTTTCTTAACATCCTGCAGAGATTGTTGCAACGTGTTAAAATTTGTCGACGTTGATCAAAAATCACTTTTCATGTTTTTTGTTCCGCGATCTTTTCACCAAAAAAGAAACAAAAAAAATACGAAATGATCGGAAAAAGTGTCGCCGAGATAGAAATCGCGACGAAAGCTGTTCCCTCGAAATTCCGAAATTGATGACCGCAGAAAAGATTTGCACGGTCGACGCGAACCGACTTCCGTAATAATCCCGAGACGCGAAAATTAATATTCGTAATTTATTCAAGGTGACGAAAGGAATGGAATGTAACTATGAGTAATGAACTTTTCGCCGGGGAGAATATTAAATTCAAATAGGATTGTCATCGAACGAAATGAACTGTCGACAAAACGCTCGAATAAGGGGCGGGGGGAGAGGGTAGAAGGAGGAGGACCCAGGACCCCGCTAATGACTGGGACATCAACCTACGAAGATTTATTAACATAAAAACGTAACTTCGGCCCACGCAATTTTTCAACGTCCTCCTATTCCAAAGTAAGGAATTATTTTGTTTGGAAGTTTCAGAAAGCCATTGAAACTTCCAGCTAAGTTACTTAATATTTAATGCATTAAAGTCCAGGTTTCGTGAGAAAGTTTTCTAGAAAAAAAGGAAGGCCGAGGGCTCGTTCCTGGTAACGAGCCGTGACACTGCGCCACACTTCCTAAAACGATTTTCCACGCCTTCGAGATTCCGCAGGGCTAATTGTCTCCCCCCGCGAAACAACCGTCGAGGAAACGAGCACCGATTCCGATTCCTGTATATCGCATTTATTGCGTTCATCGATTGCAGTCCAACGAATCGCTGCGCGCTCATTTTTTACCGTCACGCTTCGCGGAATCGCGCGAACGAATTTCATAGAATCGAAAACGGGTGCTTACTTAATTAGCAGATGCACAGTCGATGCGAAAAGTGTTCGTGCACTTTGTAAAACACGGAGCAACTTTATCGCGATCGAGCAAAGCGATCTACAGGGTGTCCCAAAAATGTCTCGCAATCCGAAAGTGGCGGGTTCCTCGGGTCGTTCGAAGCAACTTTTTCCTTTACAAAAATTTTCTCCGAGGCACCGTTAACGAGTTATTAACGAAAAACAGTGACCAATGAGAGGCGAGCTCGGCTGGCGTGCGGCGGCCCAGCCAACGAGTGCACGGAGCCCAGTTCCGCTCATTGGCTCGGCCGTCTCGCGCCAAATGATCTTGCCTCCGATTGGTCACTGTTTTTCGTTAATAACTCGTAAACGAAGCCGCGGATCGCATTTTCGCTAAGGAAAAAGTTGCTTCAAATGATCCGAGAAACCCGCCATTTTCGGATTGCGAGACATTTTTGGGACAGCCTGTATGTCTTAAATTGTTCCAAAGATATTCCCTCAACTTTTTCAGCTTAGGACGAAAATTGAAACAACGCGTTTCGCGGATCTCGTATCTCTCGATTTTCTGCCACCGTGCTCGACCGACTCGATCGAACGATCTCCCATTGCACACGTAAAAATGTAAATACGAATTACACGTCAGAGGCTAATTCAAAAAATCCTTGCGAGAGGACGCGCGATTACATTGGATTCTCATCGTTTTTCCTGGAGTTGCGGAACTCTTCCGCGAAGAGTGCGTGCATCGGAGCAATTACAACGAGAGGATAGAAACCAGTTGTCATTAAAATTTTCGTAGAAACGTAGTCGCATCTTATACAACTCGGCGATTGAGAAAATACGGAAAAAAGAACGGCGAGATACAGGGGCGGCAAAAAGTATTTCGCGCAACGAATTCGCGAGTTTTCGAGAACTTTCGAACGCTTCGAGCGTTAAAAGTTTCGCGAGGAACGATCGGAACAGCTGCGAATCCGGACTCATCTTGAAAGCTGTGTACATATTTTGCGTGCAATCCGGCTCCTCGATTTCGATCCGTAGAAATGAAATTTTCTACGGACGTTTCCTAAAAAAAATGAAAATAACGTCTTCGAGGAAGGCGTCCGTCTTCTTCGGCTTTCCATGCCGCAGTTTCTCGCGATCGCGTCTTAGAAGGAAATGGAACGACGGGTTACGGAAGTAACCGAGCCTAAAAAGCCTCCTGAAACCAGCCTGAGAGCTTATCGCCGCGCGATCCTTTTGTTTCCACGAGATATCGAACGTTTCAAGATCGTCGAGTTTCGCGAACGTCGGAAATTCCTGCGCGAGAGCATTTCCGTGGGAAACGTTAATTTTTAATGAAACACAAAATTATCGCCGAGAGATAAGAAACATTCTGATGTTCTCCATTCTTTCTTAGCTCACCACGGACATCGAAGTAAGTTTCTTACCCGACTATGTATTACCATAAACGTAGCAAACCGAACGTTTGAGATCGGTTTATCTGTCCCGTGTGATACTACACCACATGAGAAACAGTTTTATGCATACCTCACATTACTGCCATTTTCCAGACGAAAGAATACGAAAAATTGGAATGTCGCTTAACGATTATGACAAACGCGCCTACACCGTTCTCTGCCGTCGATATATTGTTCTAGCCGAGACAGGTGTTCGATTTATTAAAGAAAGAAATGTCGTTCGCTTTTCATTTGTGCCAATTCGTTGATCAGAATCGGAGGACAGACATTTTTACGCACGGTTACGGTAAATTCTCCCTGATTGTCCTTCGGCTCGTAAACAAAAGTGAGCAATTTAGGGAAGAGGAGATGCGATTGGCCGAGCATCGTATTTATAGTTAATAGAGCCTAGTATTGTATAGTTTATATGGTTCATTTATAGTTTACATAGTTTATATGATTTATGTAGTTTATATAGTTTATATGGTTCATATAGTTTATATTACATATATATATATATATATATATATATATATATATAATTATATTATATTATATTATATATAGTTTATATAGTTTATGTCATTTATGTAGTTTATGCAGTTTACATGGTTTATACGGTTTATATAATTTATACAGATTATATTTTCGTTATATTATTGAATAATCGTATCTCATTTTCCCAGCTTGCTCACTTTTGTTTGCAAGCTGAAGGAAAATCGGGGCGAATTTATTGTATTTCATTGTTTCGATATCATCGATAGCGTTGCATCGATTCTCATTTTAGGTCATATACCATGGTGGCATCAGCTGGAGGGAAACATCCTGTTGATCATCATCGTATCGGCAGTCGTTCTCATTCTTTTGATCATAATCATCTGCGTGGTGATCTTCATCGTCTGTCGACGCAAACGCTGCCAGATGAAATGTAAGTAAGATTTCCGCGAGCACGTTGTGTCAAATTGTCACATTGTGTGATCGGCCGATTCACAAACGATTATTGCATGACAGCATATGCAAAAACGGACTTTCTTCGAGATTCGTGCGCGTCGATGGATAAACAATGAATTTAGACGTCTGGTATACAATGAATCCCAATGAATTTTGTTTTTCGACGAACCAAAAGTCTCTTCCGTGCAACCAAACGAGTGTCGCTCGAGAGTGCTTTCGAATACTTCATTTTAGAAGCATGCTCTTGGATCGTTCGACACGCGACACCGATTCAAAATCTTGAAGAAGTCCAAATTAAAATTGTGGCAATCATTGCAAACGATTTTTACATACTTCACGAACGTTCGACGCGAACCTCATCGAACTTCGATGACTTTTAGTTGGCCGAGAAATATGCATTACCCGAAGGAATTCGTTGAAACAATGAACGAGATCAGGATGTTTCACGCGCCTAAGTTTCCTATTTAGCTTCGAAGCGTGAAGTAAAGAAAAAGAAATCAAGTCTTTAAAAAACACGAAGCATTATTATGGAGTAATATTAATATCGTGATTCGAGTTACTGAAAATTACAGCGATTCCTTTAATAATAATTAAAGTTACTTAATAATTAAGCAATTCTTTAGCTTGTCTTCGCGTGAAGAAAAAACCTACACGATTTAACGATTACGGTACACCCACGACTATCCGATCATTAGTTCAATCCATGTGTAATCAATCGTGCGAGTCGTCAAAAATTGATTTTAATTGCGGCTAAACGACTGTTCTATTATTCAAACACCAATTTCCCTCTGGTTAGTGTAATCGAAATTCCGGTCTATTCGTATATTTAGACAATAAACCGGTATTATTTAGAATTACAATTTCGCGGTTCTGATTTAAACGTGAACTTGATATAAAAATTGCAACGAAATAATTACAGTTCTGTAATTATGTACTATAATTTTTTTATAATAATATCTTTGCTCTTAGCGTTTATTAAATAATACAAAAATTCAGAAAATTCGGTCCATAAAGACGTTCAATGAATCAGAGTACAAACGGAGCTTGCAAATATCATTCGCAATAAATGTGCCAGTATCGAATAGAATAAGCCAGGACATTTTTAAAATTCTACCTCGACGTAATGCATATTTGTCGCAACATTGTCTAGCAAGGTTCGCAACTGGATAGAGCTCGGCATAGTCCGCCGAGTGAATTACATAATAACAGTTCTTGCAATGTATCGCGGAACATCCCCATAATAGATCATAAGCACCCCCTCCCCCCTTTTGTGACACGAGATCTCGTTTCATCGAAATCCATCCACTTTGCTCGCACTATTCTCGACATTGTCCACTCACGGAAAAGCACACCATACATGACTATCGACATACGGTGGCCCGTAAAAGTGTTCGTACACCTTTTAAAACGCAATTAACTTTTTCAAAACTGAATCAAACGATTTGAACTTTTTTTAGACGATAGACTAGTCTTAGACCTATTAGACGGTGGCTAAAAAGCTTCTTCTTAATTCTGCTATTACTTGGAACGAAAAGAAAACATTAGAAACCCTCGTTTTTTAACTTTCAAAATTTTTTTAAACACCTTTCGTAGATCTTGGTATCTTACATTCGTGCAGAAAAATTTCGATAGAATTTTCCACACGCGTACAAGTCACCGAGATCCAGATTATTATATCTTTGTCGTTCCAAGTAATAACAGCAAAATTAAGAAAAAAAAGAAACATTTCAGAGTCATCGTCCAGTAGATGAAACAAATAACCCCTATCGTCGAAAAAAAAAATTCGGTTGGTTCAGTATTAAAACAGTTGTTACGTTTTAAAAACGTGCACGAACATTTTTGCGGGCAACTATACATTCGCGACAATGGAAATACGTACACGGTATCGGATTGTTTCGAGCCGGTGAGATTTTTGGTCGGTTCCGAGCCTGCTCGGGTCTGTCTCGCAGCACAACGGTTTGTCCAACGGTAAATTTTCACGGGATACGATCCGATTTCTGATCCCTCTAGACACGCAGCATGTCGCTTGATCGCGGAGCAGTAAAAGAAAAAAAGCGCGCGCCGCGAGCTTGCTAATGATTGCGAAGTAACGTTGAATCAGTACCAACGAGCTCCCATTGCGTAACGTATCGATCCTTAACGAGTAGCATCCTCGCGTAGAGACCGAGTCGTTGAACGAATATTTCTTGCCTCTCGGTTCGGCAAAGAAGAGAAACATCGTGTAAGATACTGGAACATCTCGCCCCCGTCAACGAAAGTACAATTACTATCATTCCGGCTGGCTGCAGGCATCGAATTTCGCGCCTCGATAATGGTCATTCTTGAATGGAACGCGACGCTCGATGCTTCCACAGGATTCTGTTTTAAATTGCGATCCGCGACGAATCGGCTGGATTGTTGCTCGAAATTAACACTAAACCTACCGAGCGGTAATACTAACTGGCATGCACTGCTTCACAAAAGTGAGAAGACCGAATTTATTTGGTATTTGTAAAGTTTTTATTATTTATTATTATATTTTATATTGTATATTATTTATTATTATATTATATATTATATATATATTATTAGAGCAATTATATAATAAATATATAATAATAATAATAAATAATAATAATATATATATTATTTATATATTATTATTATTATTATTATTATATATGTATATACCGAATTTATTTGGAATTTGTAAAGTTTTTATTATAAAACTTGCTCCAATAATATATATATAATAATATATATATATAAATAACAATATATATAATTATATATATATATATATATTGAATAAACTTATTCAAGCGTTTTCCACGAAAGAGTCTCGGAACTTTGCAGAATTGCAAAATAAGAAATCGGTAACTTAAGACCGCGGTAGGTTTAGTGTTAAAGAGAGAAAGGAGATCTCGAGATTTTTTGTTGTCGTACGGTCGCTTCGGGGTTTTTTTAAAAGACGAGGAGAGGCGCGCTCGCGCTTCGTTCGACGACAGAATCCTCGGGCGTTAATTGGATGGCTGCAGTCAGGTTTGCATAAACCATGCACCCGCATACATTATTTTTGCGTTGTTATTAATCGTTCATGCTAGTTCCAAAGAGAGCATGCCTATTATGTTTACGTAATCGTGTAAAGTAGATGGACAATGCGAATTTCCTATCTGGATGCAAAGAACAACTACATAATACATGTACAAATTATTAAGTATACATACGAACCTGTGGCACGTGCTGCCGTGCGGTCGAGGAAACGACAAAATTCCATCGACTCGCTGGACAATTTCGTTCGAAAACGAACGCGGTGAACTGTTTGTTTCGCCGAAACAAATTATATTTGAAATTGTTGTGATTGCTTGGTCGGTTTTCTTTTTAATTTTTGGTTCAACTATATGGCGATAAAATTTCATTCGAGTTGAATGTTACATTCGAAATCTGCTATAATCATTTGCAAAATTATATATTTTGAATATACGTATATCAGTGAAATAAACGTTAGTTAACGGATGCAAAATAATTTATTCGCGCGCCAAAGCTACGATTTATACATACTAAAAGCAGCGACCGATTGAATTGAATTTTTCGAGTCGCGTTATAATAAATCGACGTGATTTAAACGGTATGTAAACAAACGCACATTTAAAATTCAAAGTATGTTTATCGAATTTTAATTAACCGTTGCCTGCATTTTAATGCATTAACTATATCGTCGCGGCAGCTCCACCGGCGCGCATTAATGAACATTTAATTCGAACGGAAACAATCGCGAACGAATTATATAAATATTCCCCCGTTTAAAATGTTTACCGATGTCAACCGGGGGCGCCCCGTGTTTCGCGCGTACTCTTTGTCCGCGCTAATTGATAGCAATTCTTAAGAAACTCGGGAAATAACGTCGCGTTCCCTGAGTTCCCTCTAAACAAGATTGCGCAATCAGTTGTTTGTTCTTTTTTGTTTTTTAATTAACCGACTTTCCTATCGACGATGCCAGGCGTAGTCAAGAAGAAAACAGTCGTGTTTTCTATAGTAAATTTTCAATCATGTTTCTATGGTAAATTTGGATCTCCTGGTTTCGGTTTTCGATCAATTATTCTTTCGCGAAGCAAGTAAAAAACGAAGCGACGCTCCGAACCATCAAGATTAATTATAGCTCGTCGTTTACTTTTCCTTTTTTTAATAAGTTCAGACCTCGATGAAACAGTCGTGGATATTTTAAAAAATAAAGATTTAACATTAATAAAAACAGTTTTAAAATCGCGGTGGATTAATTCGATCTCGCACGATTCGCGAACGGTTAAACGACGTTGACATCGAACGTGTTAAAAAATGCTTTCGCGAATCTAGCGAACATAATTTCGGATCGATCGTTGTACGTTAAAATATGCGTCGGTGTTGGACACGTTCGTGCACAGTTGGAGACACGATTCCCTTGAAATCGTCAAGCCTGAGAAAAGGCATTAACGTCTTTCTCGACGCGACCATAAGCTCGCGCTCCCATAATACGTCAAACACTGCGATAGCAAAGTCGCAAAAAGCTAATTCCTCTCTAAAGCGAAAAAATCGGCGGGCATGCCTGAAAGGCATCTTTAAGCCCCCGAAAGAGTACAATGCTTACCATAATTAACAAAACCATTTCACGGCGGTGCGCGGTGGAGCAGGACACAATGTAACATAATCTCCTGCGAAAGTTAATTAAACGTTCGTCCCGGTCCCACCGTGATAAACCCTTTGAAAGACTGAAATAAATAGACTCGCCCTTAATTCTAATCCTCGCGGAATCCATGTCGGCGAGACTCCGCGCAAACATCCGCTCGTTCACATTAAATTAAAACCGAACGGCGCAAAGCCGTCGCGACGGTTCTCCTTTTATTTTCAACGCGCGCGCAGCAAAAAAGAATGAACAATTTCGGAAGCGGAGATACGGTTGCCGACAACTGTGAAAACGAGCCGCGAGGCTCGAACGATCGTGTCTCATCTTCCACAATTTTCCATTTTGGTGCGCAATCTGGGCGTCAATTAGGGAGACTTCACCGCACTTCGATATGATCGGAACTGTTAAAACTGTTAATTCGCCGCTATTTTGTAACGTTAAAAGAGTTATTTTACCTTTTTATCCACAAATAGTTTATATTAATTTACATATTTGCTGATTGACGAAAATTTGAGAAGAATTCATGTTCTTCAATCGCAATTCGATCAATATAAAATAATTTTCAAAGCTGATACATCGAAGTCACAATCTCATTATAACCCTAAGTGGACCCAGATTGCACCGTCAAATTTAACCTTAATTAATTAAAACTCAATTCAATAAATCTTTACAGACAATGAAGTCAAAGATACCGTAAACTTTTAAAATACATAAATTTCACGTAAAAGTCGGTTCTACCGTGAACACCGGACTCTCTGTTTCCCATAAAAACAATCTCTCGTTTACTCGCGAAAATATTATCTCGAGAAACCCGTTGGAGCACAAATACAGTAATATCTCTCTAATTGACGCTCAGATTGTCCACGAAAATGGACAATTCGGGAAGAGGCGATACGATTGTTCGAGCCTTGCAGCTCGTTTTTATAGCCGTTGACAATTCGTAACTATAGAAATGAACCGCAAGGATCGAATCATTGTATCTTTCTTCACCTAAATTGTCCATTTTTGTAGACAATCCGAGCGTCGATTGGCGAAAAAATATATTCAAGAGATCGTCATGAAACGAGCCGTTTATTTTGAAAGTGGCCATAAGTCACTTTACCGTAATGAAAAGTGGTGATTTTTTAATGTTTATACGAAATTATTTATACCGAGAAAAATATCAGTATCCTGAGACAACAAATACAAGTAAATCGTCTCGAAAGTTAGCATCCATATTTTTAAACCTGTTAAAACGCACACCCTTAAATATATCGACTCAAAAACAAAGTGACTTATGCCACTTTCAAAATAAACGGCTCAAACGTCGAGTCTTCGCGAACCGCGTGCACGGGGACGCCGCCGCCGCGGCGTCGAAGAAGTCGACAATCAGCGGAGAATGAAAATGTCCAGCGAGTTTTCGCCGTTTCTACGTACAAGAAGAAGAAACGGGGCTCGTTCGTCGAAGAAACGGCGGCGCCACGCGAAACACCCGCGGCCCCCGGACCCCGGGAGTTCAACACGATCCTCGGCGAACTTAGCCGGCGTTAATTAAATTCGCGCCGTCGTAAACTTCAAACTCGAAAAGAACGTCCCCAATTAAACGCGGCCGGGAGGGAAAATCCGCGGGCGCGGGGGAAAGGAGAGAGAGAGGGAGACCGATGGGTTCTCCCCGTAGTCCTCGGGGGCACGGCAGCAGCTGGCGCGGGTTTCGTTTTCGGTGGCCTCTCACTAACACAGAAAAACTGATTCGTTTCTGCTCTACTTTTTAATTTGGACTTGGTAAACAAAACACAGACAGTAATCGGGTGGTCGAGCTGGAGGAACGCGAACAGTAAGTACGAAAATACAACGCATCGCCGTTACCCCGGCCCTTCTCTCTGACTCTCTCTTACCTACAATTCTCTCTTCTTTTCTTTTTATCTTGTTCTTCTTCTTCTTCTTCTTCTTCACTTCTCCGATTCTTTCTTTTTCCGTTCCATTAATCTTCGGCCGCTCTCTTTCCGTTCGCGACCCCACACCTGTTTTGCTCGCTGTACAGTTCGCGGCACCGGTTTCTCTTTATTTCACGAAATTACCCTGACTCCCGACAGCTTGGTGTCCGCGTCTGCATGCGCTCTATTACCGGAACGTGCTTACACTCGCCGAAAAGCGGCTGCAATGTTCTACTTTGCGCTTTACGAGGCACGGCCCGCGCGCGTGTCGCGCACCGAAACGACGAAGTTGCGCGGAGATCGAAGAACTTTTCGGAGGAATGTTGATCGAGCGACGCGATATTCTCCCGCGTCGAAGCTTGAATCGTTGCGGAATATTGAGACGACGGAGAGGACGCGGCGCGAACGTTTCTCCACCTTAAAAATTGATATCGAAATATTCCATCGAAATTTTGCTTCTTAACGACGCGTTGCGCGCCGATTCCCGGCGATTTTCGGATCGTTTTAGACGCTTTTCGGGATCTCAGATCTGCGAGTTATCGAATCGTACCAACGAGAACATCGCGAGTTCGCTTGGATCAATTTTTCTTATTTTTCTGAAACGGTGGATCGATTCTGCGATCGAATTTGAGATCAGCGTCGTCGAGATCTACGGGAAACGACGCGCAACGCGTCGCAGAAAAAGCTCCAACTGTACACGGTAATGGACAGATCGGAATTTCGTTGGAACACTTCGAGTTTAACGTAAATCGTCGAGGTTAAAAAATGTCATTCTTCGACATTTTTCAGCTTCGACGCGAAAAGAAGCAGCGCCGTTTCATCCGATTTCCGTCGGAAGTTCTTTAATTTTCGCACGGCTTTGTCGTTTCGTCCGACACTGTGCGCGTCGCACCGGTGTGCTGATAATTCAGTGGTATTATTACGTTTGTGCACGATGTATATAGTTGCACATGCATGTCCGTATGTATGTATATACATATATATACGTATATATATATGTAGGACGACGGGAGATGTACGGGTGGGACATCGCGTGTGTCGTTGTAGAAGGATTCGATTGGATCCGGGATACTAATTCAACCTTGGCAAATCTTGGTACTCGATTGATCGATGGAATTATCGGTTCCTCGTATCGGCGGCTTAACAGGAATCAGCTATAAAGAGGATTCCCGTGGTACTCCGAATTCTGGAATTGAAAGAGTCGCCGTCGCGATCGAGGCGATCGACGCGACGGGATCAGCGATAAATTGGTACAGTGAGTTCTCCCTAATTGACGCTCGGATTTGGCGCAGAAAGGGACAATTTCGACGGAGGAGACACGATTATTCGAGGCTCGCGGCTCGTTTCTATAATCGTTAACGATCGGGCTGTCGCAAAATTACGAATTATTAACGAAAACACAGGGACCAACGAGCGGAACTTATTCGGATTTATTCGGAAGATTTATTCTCGTTCAGAAAATTTTATCAAATCGTTTTTAAGTTATCAACGATCTCGTAACAATTTTTGAGTTTACTTCGTTCGCGGATTCAAATGTTTGAGATAAATTTATCGAATTGTTTGGATTCAAATACGAACGATCTATACATTTTAAAGTATACAAAATTTCACATAAAAATCGGTTCTGTTAACACCGGATTCTCTGTTTCCCATAAAAACAATGTTCCACCGTCGTTCATTCGCGAAAACATATCTTCGGAGAACCGTCGAAGCGCAAATTTAACGAAAGAACATATTCGAGAGATCGTTGAAATTTCAAGATCCGACGAAAGAAAATATTTGAGCGCGCGCGTTAAATTCTTAACGAAAAGAAGCGCTGTTCGCTGTTCGTGTTAAAATTTCAAGTTCTCGCCGCAAGAAAATATTCAGGGATACGTTTAAATATTCAGATTCGACGAAACGAGCCGTTCGAGGGGGGGAGGGGGGACGTTTAAAAATTTTGAGACTCGACGAACGAAAATACAGTAATGTCTCTCTAATTGACGCTCAGATTGTCCATAAAAATGGAGAATGTGGGAAGAGGAGATACGATTGTTCGAGCCTTGCGGTTTATTTGTTATAGTTACGAATTGTCAACGATTATAAAAACGAGCCGCAAGGCTCGAATAATCGCATCTCTCCAGTTCCCAAAAATTGTCCATTTTTGTCTCCAAACTGAGCGTCGATTAGAGAGACATTACAGTATTTAGGGGACTAGGAAAATATTTAGGAGCACGGTCCGAGAGACTGGACGAAAGCGCGAATATTTAACGAGCGAAGAGCGTCGACAAATAAATAAACCGGGCAGCGATAACTTTGCCCGTCGCATGCGTTCGACGCAACGTTTGTCCGCGAGCAGGCACAAACGACTTCCGAAGTAATTATCCAGTCTCTGAGCCGATATTAGATAGAATCGGTAACACGTCCACGAGCGCCTTAAGTTATTCCGTCGTGTGTCGAACCTGTGTTTCTTTCTTGTTAGACCTCTGGCATCATCGAAGTTTCCGTTTAATCGTGCAAGGTGTTGAATGTACGTATTATCGGCGCAATGACTTACGGACTTTATTGGTGTGAGTTCACGTAACAGCTAGCCCCTGATGTGTAGTGTGCACGAGATTGTCTCCAATCTCACAGGAAGCCCAGACCTCTCACCGACTCTCTCACACGCTCTCCCGTCTCTCTCTCTCTCTCTCTCTCTCTCTGTCCCTTCGTTTCTCTTATGGCCTCTCTCTCTCTCTCTCTCTCTCTCTCTCTCTCTCTCTCTCTCTCTCTCTCTCTCTCTCTGATATACACACACATATACACGCACACTATATCCTCCTTGTTCTCCACCATGGCTGAATGCATGTTGCGTTGCATAATTTAGTGACCACTTCCGACTTATAATAGTTTACTGTCGAAGTCTACATAGAGGTGAGGCAGGTAAGGGTTGCACGTGCAAATGAATAGGGTGGCAAAGTTCTTTGTTATTCGAATGTTGCACTGCGCGGTTGTTGCATAATTTAGGGATGATTAGTTACACTAGCCGATCTCCGTTCCAATGGTGATCCCTCTCTCCCTCTGTCTCTTTTTCTCTCTCTCTCTCTTATTCGCCCTCTGATTCTCTGTTCTATTCTGCCGTGGCGACACTTTCCGAGGTGAAAGGTAGGTGAAGGGTTGCATGCCCGATGAGTGGAAAGCTCTCTCTTATTGAGTTGGCTGTCGTTCAAGTCGTGACCTGAAACGAAGAATCCTTTCGGAGATATGAATTTTTTCGGCCGAGCCTCCGCCCACGCGGCGGCGACGGCGGCGGGCGACGACGACAGGAATGTTTACAACGTTCGTTAACGTCGAGCACGGGACCCGATAAATAAACATGAGCATAACGATTATGGAAAGTCGCGTCACCGGGAGTGCGCGAGGTCGCGCCGCCTATGGAACTCTCGCGACCACCGTGCGTAAAGCATCATCATCATCATCATCGTTTCTCAAACTTAATGTCCCGCGATTCAACGTGGTTTCTTCGCGCTGTCACGCGAGTCTTTGTAATAGCGAATTTTTTAGGAGAACGATGAACTCGGGCAACGTTTTCAAATGAAAAGAAAAGAGGCATTTCAGTCGTCGTCCAGCATCGTCTGGAAGAAGATTCAATTTGAAAGTGAAGTCGAGTTGAATTTTTGAAAAATTGTTAATATGTTCTTAAAGGTGTACGAACACTTTTCTGAGCCACTGTACCAATCGTCGAGACCACTGTTCTATAAATTTGAACCTCTTTCCCCGGTTTTTCGGTTTAATTTGGAGAAATGGTTAAATGTTAAATTATTAGAATTTGTTGTACTTTAACGCGAATAGAATTTGTCGAATGATTCAGACTGTAGAAATTGCTACGAAAATTAGTTTTTTGTTACGCGGATATATAATTTTTTACCGTTCATACGAGAGGACAAGCTGACCGAACATTTAATTCGCTGAGTAAACGCGAGTTCTTTTTTTGTCACGTGCAGTAATGTCTCCCTAATCGACGCTCGGATTGTCCACGAAAATGGACAATTTGGGAAGAGTAGATACGATTATTCGAGTCTTGCAGCTGGTTCTTATAATCGTTGACAAAAACGTGTAGCAAGGCTCGAACAATGGTATCTGCTCTTCTCAAATGGTCCATTTTTGTGCAGAATCTGAGCGTCAATTAGAGAAACATTGCCGTATCTCGAAACTTTTGGCGTCGGAGGTAAAGCTTGCGAAACGTTCGCGCGTCATCCAGTGAAATATCGTTTCGAGCACCAATGAACGTCGGAAGATGCAGGTGACTAAAAAAAGCAGTGATTACTGAAATAAGGAAAACCTTGTTACCGGATTCAGCGAAGTCTCTGATTAATTGGCAGCCGTCGCGTAAGATGTGCATTCGTGATCCAACATGGACGAGGAAACAGCTGAATTCGATTACGCGAGTCGATTCGAAATGAAACAGCCCGAGACCATGATACTGATTATTACGCGACTATAATCGCGGGAGCATCGAGATGATATCGGTCGGTGACGATTTTTGTTCGCGAACTAACTCTTTTTCGAGGACAACGTCCGTCCGCGATATTTCGAAATCGAATGCACATAAGAGAAAAATATTCGCTACATACCTGAAATTCGATCCGCGATTGTCCTAAAGTTTAATTAAAAAGTTCGAAAGAGCCGCGTGCGGCGGAGACGCGTAACTCCCAGTAGATTACTTTGCACGATCGAAAGGATTCTTCTTTTCAATTTGTCTCTCTTGGTTCGCAGACTGTTCGGGTATTGTGTCTATATCCTCCATAGCGTAATTTAAGTGCCCTAAGGAAAGTTTCGAATAAACGTCTGATCAGCAGAAAATCAATGTCCCCGGCTTTCGAGGAACTGGAACGAAACGAGCAATTCTCCTTATCGCGCAGTCGTGGCAACTTGAAAGAGATCTCTGAAATGACTTCGTTATTCCTCTTGAACATTCAAGTTTGGATATTACAGCTTCCTTTATAACCAACGGTCTCTCTCTTTCTCTCTCTGTAAATATACCGTCGACGCGCTGATCTCGTTTCTTTTCCACTTTTTCTCGAGCTTTCCGTTTCGAACGGAGATTCGCTCTCTTTCTTGCCTGAAACAAAAATTGCATCAAAAAATTGCCTAAAATATTCCTGTTTTCATAACGAACGCTTATGTTATTTTATACCATGACCGTTGGCTCTTAAAACCCCGGAAAGAAACAGAACAGCAATTTTGCAAACGTTGCCGACTTCGGGTCTTTTCTGTTGGTCACATTAAATTATCTTATGAGAGACTTTTGTTCGAAACTTCGGCGTGTAATCGGTGTTCTTTCACAAAAGACTCTTCGTACTTTACGAACTTCGTAATGGATGTTTAACACAGTGCCATAAGTTTTCGAATACCATTAAGTTTCGCGATCTATTAATTTCTTGGAGGAAAAAAAAAAGAAAAGAAGTTCGCAAAGAACGCAGAGTTTACGCTTGCGATATTAAAGCAAGGCACAATGATCCGATTATCGAACGGATCGGACAGAACAGATCGCACTTAATACGATTCTATCGAAATTTGATCGATGAACGCTGAAACGACGCTTCTGTAAAAAGTGGTAGCAATTAAGAAATTAACGGCTGCCACTAAAAATTGAAACGCGACACTCGCATCGATCGAACAAGCAGAATATCGCACATTTGCAACAACGATGATTTCCAACAAAATTATTAACCGGTTGTCAAATTAAGATTATTGGTTAGCTTTATTCGTTCACGGTGCTTCAATTTGCGAAGAAAAGTCGTATCAATTGCGATCGTTTTGGAAACGATTAGAAAAGAAAGAGGAAACAACGACGATGTCGACGAAAGAATCGAATTTTGGCGAATAGAAAATGTCTCATCGACACCGCATCGCTCAGTCTATGCTTTTACGATATAAAAAGTAAAAAAGATTTGTTCACTTTTACGCTCTTAAAACAATCGACACTGCTTATCCTACTTCATACACAAATTGTAATCCGAAGCTCGGTGCTGAATTAAGAGAAGCAAAAATCAGAAACGTCTAGCCTTGACCCGAACTTTGCACTGTCATAAGCTTACTTACAGCTGTCCGACGTTCTGCAATAAGGAATAAAGGGCTTGAACGGTCGAAGCTGAAAATGTTGCTTTCTGCTCAAAATTTTGAGGATGACCTAAACGACTGTCTAATCTCACACAGACTGCACATGTATACATATGCATATATGCATATATATGCATTCGCAACGAGAATAGATAACAGAGAAGAAACAAGCGAAGACGTTCAAAGAACTGAAACAAATAGGGAAACATTTTCCTCTACATTTTCGTGGAACTTGTTTTCTTGAAACCGACGCAGACGATTATTAATTTTGTACAAAAATCCCCAGTAGAGAGTGACGTTTAAATCGCGGATTTTTTCACGCGTTTCTGTTTAAAACGAGAAGGCCATACTTAATAACACCCAGAACATCGAAATACCCGCGCATATTATTACAAGCTAGCTAGAATTGTTAAGACGCGAAACAATTATCTGCTTAATCCGAATGCGTTGCGATCGACGCGTCGCATAAATTAGACCGCGCGAACAAACAGTTGAAACGAGATTAAAGCGAACTAGGACCGTCGGCGTGTTGCTTCGAAGTTGTCGAAACGATTCGAGACAGAAACTTGTGTGCTTGTGTCCCCCCGTTGCGATCGATGCAGACAATTTTTATCTCGCACAAAGGTCGCGGCACAGCGACGACAGTTCCAAGTCGCTTCTTTCGTCGGAATCGGACGTGAAACGAGAAAAGGTAGCCGGTATGAAACGTGATCGTCGGACAGTCCAGACGGTGGGCCACCGAGCCCGACGGTGTCCTCGCACTCGACTCAGGGCCCGGCGCATCCGGTGCACCCGGTGCAGACGACGCCGGCGCCGAGGTGGCCGCTGAAGCCCGGGGTGCTGGTGCACATCAATCGGACCCACAGCCTGCGGTCCGGCCTGAGCGTTCGCAACGGCGAATCGCTGCGAAACGAGTTGATAGCCGGACAGGCCGACGTGGCTACCACGACCGATCGATTCCTGATGGAAACGACAATCACCAAAGTGCCGGCCAAAGTGTTCCGACGGCGGAGGGACGGGCCGCAGAGGAGCCTGACTGTGACCTCTCTGAACGACGAGGGTATGCTCGCCAGGGCTAATAAGATTAAGGCCATGTTTGGAGTGCAACTTAAAGAGCAGGCTACTTTGCCCGGTATTTCCAGGGAGAAGACAGGTAAGTCGGCGACGGAACACCGGGACGAGTGTTCGCTTTAATGCGGCCGTGCCTGAGACGTGGAAACTCGAGCGGCGGCGACGGCGACGACGACGACGACGACGACAACGACGACGACTCGCCTCGCGGAGGTGTCACGTGTAACAAGGCGAATCCGTTAATTTATTCAACCTCGCCGGTGAGCCGCCAAAGGAGACAGCTAAGCGCGACGAATTAGGTGCGTCGATGTTTCTTAACCCTTTGCCCCCGCGATTCAAGTCCCCGCGTGCCACAGACGATAACAACGAGGTCGGTCGATCTCGTTAATGTTCGGACACTTTTCGAAACGTGATTACCTTTTTACAACTGGACTGAACGACTTGAATTTCTTCTTTTTTTTCGATGATAGAGCGATCATTTTGAACGACGAGAAACAAAAAACCATAAAGCGCACAGAAATGGTCAATTTGGGAAGAGGAGATACGATTCTGCCTCGTTTTACGAATTATCAACAACTATAAAAACGAGATTTAAGGCTCGAATAATCGTGTCTCCTCTTCCCAAATTGTCCNGAGGGACGGGCCGCAGAGGAGCCTGACTGTGACCTCTCTGAACGACGAGGGTATGCTCGCCAGGGCTAATAAGATTAAGGCCATGTTTGGAGTGCAACTTAAAGAGCAGGCTACTTTGCCCGGTATTTCCAGGGAGAAGACAGGTAAGTCGGCGACGGAACACCGGGACGAGTGTTCGCTTTAATGCGGCCGTGCCTGAGACGTGGAAACTCGAGCGGCGGCGACGGCGACGACGACGACGACGACGACAACGACGACGACTCGCCTCGCGGAGGTGTCACGTGTAACAAGGCGAATCCGTTAATTTATTCAACCTCGCCGGTGAGCCGCCAAAGGAGACAGCTAAGCGCGACGAATTAGGTGCGTCGATGTTTCTTAACCCTTTGCCCCCGCGATTCAAGTCCCCGCGTGCCACAGACGATAACAACGAGGTCGGTCGATCTCGTTAATGTTCGGACACTTTTCGAAACGTGATTACCTTTTTACAACTGGACTGAACGACTTGAATTTCTTCTTTTTTTTCGATGATAGAGCGATCATTTTGAACGACGAGAAACAAAAAACCATAAAGCGCACAGAAATGGTCAATTTGGGAAGAGGAGATACGATTCTGCCTCGTTTTACGAATTATCAACAACTATAAAAACGAGATTTAAGGCTCGAATAATCGTGTCTCCTCTTCCCAAATTGTCCAATTTCGTGCACAATCTGAGCGTCAATTAGAGAGACATTACTGTATATATACGGCGATGAAAAAAATATACAGTAGCGTCTCTCTAATTGTCTCTCTGACTAGTTACGTTTATATTTGGCCCGACGACACGCCACAGCTCTCGTTTGTGGCCCGATTATCAGACCACGTCTCTCGAACGTTGCAGGGCAAAGGGTTAAGCACGCCGGGTCACAGTTTCGGGCTGCCTACGAGGCTGAACCGCGATGCCCCGCAAAATCAGAGTTGGCAAAAATTCTGTTCGAACGGCTGACGAGAGATAAAGAGTAACGAATCGAATTCGATTCGACGTCGTCGAATACGTAGAGTGGTGGAGCCGGTTACTGGACAGGTGACCAATGTACGTTTGGTTTTGTTTCTTGACTATGTGAAGTATGACTGAATAAAATACACGAAATTTTGTTATTCTCTTTCTCTCTCTTTTGTGTTGTTAATTTCTGAATAAGAAAGATATATTTGTACCCGAAAAGAAACTAGGGGCACAGCAATTGGTCGCCCTACAAATAGAGCAATTAGTTACGAGCAACGAATAATTGTTATTCGAATAAAATGGTGAAAGATCCTCACCCCCGAAATCGTCGATTTTCGTGCGGAATCTGAGCGCGAATTAGGGAGAATTTACTGCGCGCCGGAAATTGATTTTTTTATATTCAGATTCTCGTAGGGGAAAAAAGCTGGTTTTTGTAGGCGCGTCGGTGTATTTATAGAAAAGTGGTGTTCCAGAGAAATAGACCTTGCCCGCGCCATTCAACTTTTCCCTCGACAACTTTTTTTCTAGCTTTGACCCGGCTCGGCATATAACCCGCCCCAATTGCGTTACTCGCGCGGTACAGATGGAAGATTGGAAGCAGACTTTTGACGCAGTTAAATATAATTGGTTCGCGGAATTAGAGAGAACACCAGCTATTTTTATTAATATTCTTCGTATCGAATTTGCGTCGAAAGAATTTTCTTCTTTTCCTTTTTTTTTTTGTTTCATAGAAGATTTTCATTCCGCCGGATTTTTTAAAATCCTTTCGAATCAACTTTCGCGAATATTGATCCGGTCGTGCTATATTTCCAGGCGAAACCTGCGATAGAAAGTCGAACACGATATAATCGAATAAACTGGTGGACCGCTCATTTTCCGTTAGATAAACGGCAGAAAATCATTTCGTTTCGTTTCGTTCCGTTTCGTTTGGGAGTTTCGATCGGAGTAAATTAAATCTGTATTTTACAGACCGGAAAGTTTCTTATCGTCAAAAATCGATTCTGTTCTATAGATTTACACGGACCTGGGTCAAAATATTTGAGAAAGCATTGGAAACAGTTAACGAAATACTATCGTTTGATCGATGTAATATTTCAAGATTTATTCGAGATAGCATTTTCTCACGGTGTATCGGAAATAATTGTTTGAAATTGCATTTCATGCATCTAAATTTCTACGAATTCTTTGAAATTCTATTCCTCGAGATCAACGTTCATGAAAAAAAGCAAACCCATTGGAAACGCATCGTTTCGAGAGTAAATTGTTTCGAAAAATAAGCTTCTTCTCGGAAATAAATTGCAAATCTTCTCGAAATAAATTGCTATTTCAAATAAAATAGTATTTGCAAATATTTGTATCTCTTGGTCGATTTATTATCGCCGAGGTCCGTGTTCGCGCGAGTTTCATATACTTAATTATCCGAGTTTCGCTGCGATTCACAGAGCGATTGGCTTTTGACCGGTTCAATTACAAACGGCTTACGCGAAAAGTACACGGTATTGCCGGATTTATCGTCGAAAACTGACAAAATTGACACGAAATTGGTGCCGATAAAAATGATAAAACAAAACAAAAAAAAAGAACACCCTTCGAACACTCGAACCGACGTTAATATGATTACCGAGCAATCGGCCGATAGCTCTCTTTTTACGAAACAACCGGATTAAAGCGTGCAGCCCGGCGGAATTAAACGGAATAAATTGCGATTTGCCGCGCAAATTATCCGTAGATATTACGTTAAAAACACGGCGCGCGGTTACAATCCCGCGGCGCTTATCGGGCTACATTGAATATTTGATAAGCCCGAGTGTATTAAAGAGATCGGATGCTCGGTCGCACGAAAAATTGTGCAATTTCGTGCACCGATTAACCGACGTTAACAGAGCCGTTCCCGTCGGTCCTTTGTAATAAGTCTGGGCACGTTGATCGCGCGCCGGCCACCGGTGCAAAAGCGGTTTCGGGCCGCGTAACACGCGAAATATTTAATTACGAAAACACGGGTTCGTATGTGGGAGTCTTGCGAAATATAAGGCAGCCGGCGCGCCGCCGAGCGCGATCGCGAATTTTCCGGCCAACGCGGGCTGCTTTTCCCGGTTACGGAATATATTCCGCATAAATAATCGCGCTCATACATTTCCAATTAATTCGATTTCGCGTGTCGGCCGTACGTTCGGACGCTTTAATCCGACGATTGTCGGCGAAATGCGTGCGCGGAGCCCGCGCGCTTTTAACTTCGATCGTCGCGAACGTCGATGAAACGGAACCGCCGTCGTGCGGAGGAGAACAGAATTTTCAGAATAGAAAACTCAACAGGTTCGCGATAAAAAGCGTATTTGGACAGGGTCCATTTGATCTCGACGCCCTTTCGTTGTCCTTTCATTTCGTCCTTTACGCGGAACGTCTAAATTCCGCTGATTTCGCGATACGTTTAAACGATCCTTCGTTTCCAGAATTTTCCAATGGAACCTCGGAACCAAATGGAACGACGATCGAAATGCGAAAGTTCAATTTTAGCACGGACGCCTAAAGTTCGATTTCGGTACGAACGCGAATAAGTTGACTTCAGCATTAAATCGCCGAGTCCTGTCGACGCCGCGAAATTAATTCTCGGGTTTCGTGGAAATTCGCAACCGCGAATTTAACGCGAATTTTATTGAGAAACATATATTTATCTGGGCGACCGTGAAGCGATTTTATCCGCAGATAAAACGCGCTTCCGGTAGTTTCTCGTCGTTCCACCATTATATTCCACGTACTGCAATGTCTCTCTAATTGACGCTAAGATTGTCCACAATTTGGGGAGAGGAGACGCCATTATTCGAGCCTTGCAACTCATTTCTACAGTTAACAATTGTCAACATTTATGAAAGAACAAGCTACAAGGCTCGAATAATCGTATCTCCTCTCCCGAAATTGTCCCTTTTTGTGGACAATCTGAGCGTCAATTAGAGAGACATTACCGCACTTGCCAGAGTTCTTATTCGAATAAAATCTTATTCGGATAAACATTCGCCTTGACAAATTGTTGATCGACTGCACACTAATTCTGAATGAATTTTATTCGAATACAATTATAGTCGTCAGTCGGTTACCTCTCGTCCGTCATCCGAACGTCGGCCAACTCTGACGCGAGATCATCGACAGTTTCTAAGTCGATGCTTTCTCGCGAATGATTAACGTGTTTCTATGAGCGTGAAATTATTGTTACGCGAAACGAAGCGCCGCGAAATCTACATCGCTTCGCAAACACGCTTTTTAAGCTTCCATTAGAGCAGAAAAGACCGGGCTCGCTCGCGAAAATGCAGTTCGGATTCCGCCGCGGAGCGTTCCCGGGCGTGCTCATTTTTATGTTTCGAAGTTGTTAAAGTGGCAGGAGCCTCGCCGGCGACGTTATCGTCGGCGTCGCGATTTATAACGGGCATCAAAGCGTCCATCAGGCCGACATGAAATTATCGCCGACGATTTTCGCAACTGTTCGCGTCCGGGCGAACGATAAAATCGTGTATATGTGTGTGTGTGTTGCACGTAACAGGCGGGGCCGCATGAACGAACGGAAAACAGCTTTATGTGTCGCGCTTCTCCTTTCCGTTTTTTTTTCTTGTCCCCTTTGTTCCTCTTGTATGCGTGTGCGCGCGCGCGTGTGTATTTGTTGTTTCTTTTTTTTGTCTCTCTTAGCTGTGACTTACAAAAGAATAGCACCACGGCAGAGGATATTGCATGCGGAATCGGCGTGCGAATCGAATCGGGCCAACCTCTCCCGTAAGCGAAAAAAACCAGGCGCAGGTACGTAACAAAAATGCCGCGGCGAACGGCACGTGCACGGCTCGCACGCGTGAACTTTTCCGCCGTGAACCACGCCGGACGGGGGATGATTTCCGAACCCGTTCCGTGCGCCGCCGAACAGACACCGCACCCGCGATCCGAAATGTTTGCACGTACAGGATTGCGATTGGAATGCACGAGCAACTAATACCGTTTTGCGGAATAAAAGGTTCGTAAGCTTCTCCGTTGGAAACGGACGGGATCGTTCGACCCGCGAAAAATCCCGGAACGTCGATCAAAAAGTACCGGTTCGCGTCGAGTCGGCGCTGATAGAGTCTGCACGCTTCGTCGAAGCTGCATAATTTAGGCGCGTCGTTCTTGGAGACAGATCGCCACCGAGAAAACGGTGCAGTCGTTTCTCCCTAATTCGCGCGAATTGTCCATATTTGTGCGCAATCTAAGCGCGAATTAGGGAGATACGAGTGTACTAATTTTGTACTAAAAAACGACCTAATTCGCGCTCAGATTGCGCACAAAAGTGGACAATTCGCGCGAATTAGGGAGAGATCGGTGTTCGGTAATGTCTCCCTTACTGACGCTCAGAGTGTCCACAGAAAAATGGACAATTTGGGAAGAGGAGATACGATTGTCCGAGCCCTGCGGCTCGTTTTCATAATTGTTGACAATTTATAACTATAAAAACGAGCCAAAATGCTCGAATAATCGTATCTCCTCTTGCCAAATCGTCCAGTTTTGTGGACAATTCGAGCGTCAGTATGGGAGACATTACTGTATTCCGATTTTAGACATTTCTGTCGCCGACTCGAAGGGATCCGTTTTCGCTCGCGAAGTCGCGTTAGAGCAAAGCGTTCTGCGATTTCTCTCTCGTTTCTAACGGGACGCGCGAACATTTTTACGATGTAGAACGAAAGAGACTGCGCGGTTAATGTTCTACATTCGTTGTAGAATGTCACGTTGATAAATAGAATGCGCATACCGAAGAAATTGGTCTGTCCGAGGCCGTTCGCTGTAAATCCTGAACGTATGAACACGCGTACGCGGACAACGCGTGTGCAGTCTCTTCCACGTTTCGTGTTCGCAAAACACACGATTTAACCGGCTGTCCGATGCTCCGTTGCACATTATGAGCAATCTGTGTCCTCATAGCGGGTCGGCCCGTAAATTCGTGCCGGTTCTAATCTCGAGTCGAATTTCCTTGTTCGTTCCGCGCCGGGCGACAAAGCGATCCATTTTTTGGAAACCGTCGAGCCTCGGGATCGCGACCAACGAACGCATCTCGGACAGGTTTCGCCGTACGATAACATTGTAGATGTTCGATCTTTCTAATTCGACGCTCTCGTAGTTTTTAGAGAATTAATCATAATTTGTACGAATTTAATCGTGCAGCAAAGTCTGTCGGAGACGTTCGTTTCTGTTCGCTCGACGCTCTACGGTTTTCAAAAGCTTGACGTGATCTTGTTGTTCGCAGGGTGCGAATGAGTGAACGATCGCGCGACAGGAAAAATCTAAAGCTATTGGATCGACGTACGAGATATAACGCGGGATTATTTTATTATTATCGCGCGGGGAAATTAAAATCGGAGTTAATAGCCGCGCGAACTTTGGACCGACCTGTTATTTCTGTGAAAACATCGAAACTGCTTGATACGGTAATGTCTCTCTAATTGACGTCCAGATTGACCACAAGAATGAACAATTTGGGAAGAGGAGATACGATTGTTCGAGCCTTGCGGTTTATTTTTATAGTTATAAATCGTTCACAATTATAAAAACGAGCCGCAAGGCTCGAATAAGGTTCAAATTGTCCATTTTAGTGGACAATGTGAGCGTCAGTAAGGGAGACATTACCGTAGTGTGTTGCTGACAGTAACAGAAACCGGTTCTCGTTGCTTCAAACTTTCCCTGGAACACGAAAGAAATCGTAGAAGATCTTACGAAGATATTATTTGCCAAAGTTGGAGTTACAATTAGAGTCTCGATATACATAGATTTTATCGACGTTAAATTCAGCCACGTCGCGGAGACGCAAATCAGCGATTTGAGAAAGATTTCAGAGTGTTCGGAGCTTGAGCGACCGTAAAATGTTCCCGATATCCCGGAAACGGGCTAAGAATGGGAAATTACAACACACGTCCACTTCGTAACTCTCCAACTACTATAAGAGACCTACACACACCGTCTAGATAAAAACGTCAGGATTCTGCATTTAGCTGTCTCTCGTATCCGTGCAGCAGAGGTGGAGAATACCATCGATACTTCGCGTTATCGACGACCATCGTATCGTTTTTCTTATTATCGATAGAGCGTATTGAAAGGTAATTTAAGCGAACTGTTGGACACTTCTATCCCCATTTATTATTCCAATACATTTACTTAAATGCTTCTACTGTTTATACGTATACATCGAGAGGCTATTTAAACGAAGTTTCAGATATTTCTATCCCACTTATTATCCTAATCATTACTTAAAATGCTTCTACTAAGTATAGAAATTGGAAGGCAATTTTTAAACGATGTTTCAGATATTTCTATCCTGCTTATTATATTCAAATACATTTATTTCAATATTTCTACTATTTATACGTGAATGGAAATGTCTTATGCTATGCAAAAAGATAAAATAGTTTCGCAAACAAATACCTTCGGTATGGTCTAAAGGAATATTTGGCAAAGTAAGATCCGTAATTTTCGATAGGCGGTCAGAAAAGGTTGATGTCAACAAATGTCGACACTCTGATTTGTTTTTACATAAAAATCAGTAGTTAGATTTAATACGAAACTGGTACCTTGAAATCTTTGTAACTCTGAAACTTGATATTACGCGTATTTCCCACGGTACTTCTAACGATCTAGAGAACTATCGATAGGTTTTACAAACTATCGGAAACTATCGATAGCTCTCCACCTCTACCGTGCTGCAACAAGAGTAGATGTAGTTCCTCACTCGTGACAGCATTTACAATTACACTGGAACAGCGACGGATAAAATCTATCTATGTGCCTCTCTCTCTATCTATTTCTCTCCCTCTCTCTCTCTTTCTCTCTCTGCCTATCTAATTCTCTCTCTCTTTCTCTCTCCTAGGCTCTCTCTGGTCCTCACTCTATCTCTGTTTCTCTCTCTCTGTCTCTCTCAGGCTCTCTCTGGTCCCCACTCTATTTCTGTTTCTCTCTCTTTCTCTCCCAGTCTCTCTCTGGCCCTCTCTCTCTCTCTCTCTCTCTCTCTCTCTCTCTCCCTATCTCTCTCAAGCTCTCTTTGACCCTCACTCTATCTCTGTTTCTCTCTCTTTCTCTTCCAGTCTCTCTCTAGCCCTCACTTTCTCTTTCTCTATTTATTTCTCTCTCTCTCTCTGTCTCTCTCTCTTTGACCCTCACTCTATTTCTGTGTGTCTCACTCTCTGTCTATCTATTTCTCTCTCCCAGTCTCTCTCTCTCTCTCTCTCACTCTGTCTGTCTGTCTCTCTGGCCCTCACTCTGCAACCGCGTCTCCGTCCATCTTTGTTCCTGCCTGTTTCTGGCGCACTCGAGAGAACCCACCACTCGAACGGTCCACCATAGAAACTTTCGGGACGTGTACTGTCTCGCTGGTTACCACCGGGAACTCTCGGCACCGCGACGGAAGGGTGTCGATTCTACAAAGTCATGTTTCATTTGCACTTACAGATCCCAATCAAGCTGCGAATAACAATCACGTGAACAGCGTGTCGGAGGGTCTTCCGGAGTCCGGGGCGAAGACGTTCTACGAGAACCTACCCTTCCACGGGATCCAAGCGCCGCCTAACAAGGTCAGTAGGAATCGATATACGTGGCATACTCGGCGTCGCCCGCGCGTTCACCTGTTCAGAGCAGCATGACTGTTGGTACCTTAACGTTCCACTTACGCGCTTGTCAGTAACAGCCGGATGAAAATGCTGCGCGCCGGAGGCGTTCGACGGTGGAACGCCCGGCCTCGTCTCGCCCGCCTCGCCACGGAATCACCGGCCTACTATATATATATGTACCTCTTTTTATACTCTCGTTTTTTCTCTTTTTTCTCTTTTTTTTCTTCTTTTTTTGGTTCATTCGCCCTTTTTTCTCTCTCTCGATTTTTCGGCTAATAAAATCGACCGCAGCAACCTGCCGCGCCGCACCGGCCCGGCCCGGCCCGGTCCGCGCCGGCACCGAAAACGCTGTGAAACGGACACGAGTACGTTTTGTTTCGCCGCGACAATCCGACGCGACGCGACCGTCAGTGTGCTTCTGCTTCGTCATTCATATATTCCATTTGCCGATACGATATTGTATTTGTACGGGCCAGCCAGAAGCGTACCAGAACCGAAGGAGCGTGTCAGAGTGCTTTCCCAGGTGCCATATTTCAACGGTGTACGCTGATTACGGATACGGCCACGGACACGACTGCGAACGTTAACTCTTCGGGGCGACGTCTGCTGGTCGACTATCCGATTTGTTATACTATTATACTATATGGTATAGTATATATACTATACTATACTATACTATTCCATATTTGTTATACCAGATTATTAGCTGCGATACAGTTTCGCGCGTTCGCTATCGTAGCCGCGATTTGCTTTTTCTCGCGGGGATGAAGCGTGGGTATTACTGCGGACCGCAAAAAATAGTGTGCAATTTTCTGAAAATGAATCTCATAATTTTTGTATATTTAATATCGATAATCTGTGACATACAAGTAACAGCAAACGCAATTTTAAGTCATTTATTATTATTATCGGCGTGGATGGTCTCATCTTCTCTGTCAAAGTTCGCCACTATACAATTAATTAACCCTTTGCAGTCGGAGCTCTATTTTAATTCGAAATCCAAAAGATGCTTTCTGATCTGCAGTATTTTTATTTTACATGATTCGGTGCAGTTTATGCATCTGCAATTCTGCCTATTGGCAGGTACAATAATTGCGATTTTAACAGTTTTTTTTTTAAATACAACGAATCTGGTACTGTTACGATTATTGAATGAAAAATGGTGTAACAATTTTTAGTGGCGCCTCAGACTCGCCGCTCGAGCGCAAAGGATTAACAAAACGTGCAAGAATCTTTAGATTTGTTACGGTCGCGTAATAAAAATAGAGCAATATTGTTACTACTCGTTAAAAATCACGTAATAATGTCTGAATTAATATTAGTAATAATAATAACGATAACAATGGTATAATATCAATAAAAATATGATAATATTATTAAATTAATATTAATAAAATATCGAGAAGAAAAGAAGCAAAAGTCCGGGGCTTAAGCGAAAACTGGGTCATCTTTGTCTCTATTTCTATCAGAATGCAGCTGCATTTTCTTCGAACCGAGTTCGCAAAACTGGTTTCCCTAAACTCTGCATTTTCAACTTTCGCCCAAGTGCCTAATTCAATTATTCCCGAGAACTCGTCGAACGGCTCCAATCTAGCCGAATCTCTCGCCGACAAATTCCTAAGTAATTTCTAGTCGTACAACGTGTGTCACGTTCGTAAAGTACAAACTCGTGATCGCAGTTGTGCGTCGCTCGAGCGAGAGAAACTTATCGCGCGGCGCTATTTCTTTCTCGTAAGAAATTACCGCAATAAATAGCGCACCGTCAACCGCGAGAGAGTCTAGTCTCTCTTGATCTTTTACACAGCCGCGGCGCGGAGGCCCATTGGCCGGCCAATAAAATCAATATATCGACGGTAATATCCAAACAATTTCGTCCCGTGGAGAGAGAGAAAAAAACGGGGGGAGAGGGGGGGGAAATTCGTAATCCCGGCTTACGGGATTCGTAGCCGGGCAATTTGGGGGACGATAATAAAATGGTACAAAAACGCGGGGGTAAAACGGAAGAAATTGTTCTCCGCGCGTGCTCTCCATTTACCTGGAACAACTTCAGCGGCGGAGGAGAGCGGCTTTTTCAACAAGTGCTTTTTCAACATTTTAACCCGGTGGCCGGTGCAATTGCACCGCGGGATCTTTATGTAAAATAAAAATGTTCCGCTCTAGTTAGACGAAACACAGAGGTTAAATAAAAGCGCGGCTCCTCTTTTAACCGGGTATTCCCGGTGCCTGGAACGCGTCTTTTTCTTCGGTGGTTTTTCTTTGCAAAGAAACGCGATGCAACGTCTTGCAGCGTCGTTCTTCCTGCGAGTGTGTATATTCGTTACTCTCTAACAACAATATTTACGAATTTCGACAAGCAGCTCTCCGAACGTTTTTCAATGCTATTGGACATTTTCGCTTTCGATATTGTTGTTCGATGGACGATCTATTGGAAGCAGTTTGACCGCAAGCTCGATGTTACAGTCGCTGCGAAGCGGTTTCATAGTTGTTGTTGCAACCGAAAGATGCTTCAAAGGACAGCTTCCATCGTTCTGCGTGCTCGTGTATATTTGTTACTCTCTAACAACAATATTTAGAAATTTCGACAAGCAGCTCTCCGAACGTTTTTCAATGCTATTGGACATTTTCGCTTTCGATATTGTTGTTCGATGGACGATCTATTGGAAGCCGTTTGACCGCAAGCTCGATGTTACAGTCGCTGCGAAGTGGTTTCAAAGGACAACTTCCATCGAGCAGGGAAGGTAAATGCAATACCCATTTCCCATGATCTAATTTCTTCGGTGGGTTACTTCTTCGACTCCAACCATTGGAATCTCCTTTTAGAAATAATTCCTGTGCTCCAGTTACACATTCTCGTTCACTTAAACTCTCTGCTTTATTCTGGGCAACATGCAGCGGCTCCCATTGATACGCGGACTGTTTCTAACCCTTTGGAGCCTATCGGGACTTACGTGTCCCACCTGTGTATTTCGTACGTCTATTGGGAGAAATGAATCCCATTTTTCACAATACACGAATATATCAGTCTTAGAGTGCATTCCACGCACGTATTTGCTTACATGTAATCAATGGGACACGTATGTCCCATCCTAAAAGGGATAACCAACGCTAATAAAATCAATATTTCTCGTTATTAGCATCCACGCTATTGGTATTACTATTAGCATTACGCTCGCTCACGTGCATCCAGGTAAAGCTTGACGTAACGCAAATTAACGAAAAATTAAATCAGACTCCAAAGGGTTGTGAAACGCGATAACTTTTTCGAAACTAGAACAAACGATTTGCCCGCGTAAGGGTGAAGCGTGTGACTACCGCTACCGTTGCGTATCGTTGGAAGGGTTCAGCAGTTTCCCGGTCCACGTCGGTCAAAGATGCAACGTAATAATCTCTCGCCTGCCGGCAAGACGGATTCAACGGGCGATCATTAATCATCGTCGCAACGGCCGGAAAAAAGTGAATGCCGAAATGAGCAGGGGCTGAGTATTAACGGCGGAACCTATTCCTAATTACGTTCTCCGCGCTTCAAGCCTCTCACCACAAAGTGCAATACACGCTGGTTCCTTCTGACGACGGTTTCTCTGTGTTTCCAGCGTTCCTCTTCGAGGGAGCGAGAGAGATAAAGAGAGAGAGAGAGAGAGAGAGAGAGAGAGACCGGGCCTCAGACTGCCGGCACTCCGGCACTCCAGCCTCTTATAATGCGATTATTTCACGGTGACTTTCTGTGCCACGTTTCGCGGTTGAGAGCCTCGAGTATTCGCGTGCTCCTGATATTTTCGACCCCTTTTATCAAATTACCTTCATTCCTCCCTCGAGTTAGCCTCTCCGTGGCTGCGCGGGCCGGCTCGCGTAAGCAAAAACGTTTGACCTATTACATTACCCCGGGAACAAAAATTTCTCCTCGCTCGCTCCCCTCGAAAAAAAAGCACCGCGGCCCAGCTCGGGCGCCGCGGAATTTTTCCGACGCGTCGAGCTCTTTCCGGGGACCGAAGGATGCGAAATCTCCTTGATCGTCCGACGATTTTATTAGGCGCGCGAGTTTATTCCTTCTTTCGTTTGAGAAATCCCCTGTTCACTGTTTTTTAGAAAGTGACGCGAGAAAGATGTGTCAGATATGTTTTTTCCCCCTAATTTCCCTCTAATTCGCGATCAGATTGCGCAGAAAAATGGACAATTTGAGAAGAGCAGACACGATTGCTCGAACCTCGCGCCTCGTTTTTATAGTTGTCGACGATCGGTGACTTTCTGTCTGTAAAAACGAGCCGCGAGTTGTGCTAAAATGTCCCAAATTGTCCATTCTTGTGCGCAATCTTATAACGCGAATTAAGAAGAAATTACCGCATCGCCGTAAACTAGACAGACCGCTTTCCATTCGAAGCTGAATAAACTGATCCAGAAGCATCGAACACCAAAGTTCAAGGGGTCGTCGTAAAGGCGATTCTTCGATCTTTAAACCTGTCTTAGGACCCAGTCGCGGAACAAATTTTCCAACATGTTTATAGACGTTTTAATCCGTAATTAAATTAAATTATTCTGCATTTTCAAGGCAGAGCATCGTCTTCAATTGCCGACCAGCTTTATTTAGTAGTAATGTGTAAACGGGAAATGAACGATCCATGGCGATAGTAGAAGCTTCGAGCTTCAAAATGAATCCAGATCGACCGTCGTACGACCATTTTTTACGAAGTTATAGTTTAAGCATCGCCGATTGCCCGAAAATCGAAGTGTACGGAGACTTTCTGTACTCCTAAGAGGATTTCCTCGAGCGATACTTTCAACTTCGTGGCTCTCGCAGCACGACCGGATGTTAGAGTGCATTGGTATTCGGACACCTTTGAAAACGGCATAACATTCGTAAAATTGGACCGAGCAGTTGGAGCTTTTTTTTAAAGAAGTTAAAAGGATTAGTTCGTTGAATGACGTTCGACAGGAATTTTCGATGTGGAGAAAATACAGGAAATCATTGT